CTGGAGAAGAGAAGGCTCCAGGGAGACCTTAGAGCACCTTCCAGGGCCTGAAGGGGCTCCAGGAAAGCTGGGGAGGGGCTTGGGACAAGGGCAGGGAGGGAGAGGACAAGGGGGATGGATGAAAACTGGAAGAGGGGAGATTTAGGTTGGACATGAGGAGGAAATTCTTTGCTGTGAGGGAGGTGAGACCCTGGCCCAGGTTGCCCAGGGAAGCTGTGGCTGCCCCATCCCTGGCAGTGTTGAAGGGCAGGTTGGATGGGGCTTGGAGCAGCCTGGGCTGCTGGGAGGTGTCCCTGCCCATGCAGGGGGGTGGGACTGGATGATCTTTAAGGTTCCTTCCAACCCAAACCATTCTATGATTCTGTGAATGGGCACAAATTGAAAGCAGCCATTAAGGGTGATAAAAGTGAAGAAAAAAGGAAGTGGCACGTGGCAAACAACACAGGGTCTGTGGTTGGTAGAAAATGGATCTGGACAAGGGAAAACAAGGCAGGAGAAAGTTCTGACCTGAGCACCCCTCACTGCAGCCCAGGGTCTCACTGCAGCCCCTTGCAGCCAGCATGGGAACACAGAGCTGTGTTTCTGCCCAGGTTTGGGACAAACCAGATGACATAAGTAGGTGACAACAAAATGCTTCCCATCCCAGAAGTGACAAGGGAGGGGGGCTCCTCATCCTTCCCTGATCACTCCCACCAAGCAGAGAGAAACCACCAGGCTCTCCCAAACACGAGCACTGACTTCCCAGTTTGGCTCAGCAAGCTGGGGAAGCTCCAGGGGACTGGGAAAAGTTTTTATCTTGTGCCAAGATGCAATTAAAAAACAACCCCAACAACAAGGCAAACAGGAGGCCTTGAGTAATTGCAGAGCTCTTCCCTCAAGCCAAGCCCAAGCCAAATAACAGAGCAACCAACATGGGGCTCATTAATGAAGAAACCACAGATAACCTAATTAATGCCATGGGTTTGAAAAGAGTTGCCATGTAACTAACTTGGTATCTTGCCTGAGGAGATTAACAGTGTTTTATTGACAGAGATAACAACATTGATGTAATGATCCTAAACTTGTGCAGGGCTTTTCCAGTTCCTAGGGCTGGAGACCATGATCCAAAAACTCAGCTGATTCCTAAATGGCAAAGAAGTTCAAACCCAGCTTGGAGCACACTTGGCTGCAGGAGCCCAGACAATGAGCAGAACATGCTGCCCTGGTTTCCAGATAGGTCAGGCTGGGTAAAATGTATTTCAAAGCCTAATGTCTCCTCTCTGGAAACATAGTTGTGGCTGGTTGGTTGTTGTTTTTTTTTCCAATAGAAACTTCTTCCAGTCAATAGACAAAGGTTCAGTATGATTTGAAGAGGGGAGATTGAGGTGAGACATTAGGAGGAGATTCTTCCCTGTGAGGGTGGTGAGATCCTGGCCCAGGTTGCCCAGGGAAGCTGTGGCTGCCCCATCCCTGGCAGTGTTGAAGGGCAGGTTGGATGGGGCTTGGAGCAGCCTGGGCTGGTGGGAGGTGTCCCTGCCCATGCAGGGGGGTTGGATCTAGGTGATCTTTAAGGTCCCTTCCAACCCAAACCATCTGATGATTCTGTGAGGGACAGTTTGCACGAAGGAGTCTGCAAAATCTAACCAGGCAGGAGAACAGAGACCACCCCAGATGGGCAACAGCAGTGCCAGGGAGGGTGAGGGTGCACAGAAAGGCCTGGAACTGCTCAGTCACACACACACAAATCTCAAGTTACATTTGCTGGCAGGTTTCCCCTCAGGATGTGTGTTTGCATGAGCTTGAACAAGAAAGGTTGGCTAGAAATCCCAAATAAAGCAGGAACATGAGGGACTTGCAGGCTGCCTCCTTTGGACAATCACTCATCCCCTCCAGTGCATGCTGAAGAGCTGGAGACATTCTCCAAGCTCCTGCTAGGTCAGACCCACTCCAAGGAGCTCTAGGACACGGGAGCTGCCACCCCTCTCCCACTGCCAGCAGCCCCAGGAGCTGGGATGCTTTATAACCCTCAGAATCACAACCATCTCCTCCCACTGCAGAGCTTCAGCCTCCAGCTTCTCCTGCACCACACAGACCTGCCACCCTGCTCCCCTCAGCTCTCCCTCCCCTGCAACACAGCAGCTGCAGCCAGGATCATTGTCAGGGCCACCAACACCTCTGTCTGAGATGTGTCCTGATCCATCTCTCATCACCACCTCCAGGAACCCACCTCTCAGTGTAAGTCACCCAGTCTGTCTGGTGACAGGAAGGTCACCCAAACCCACCTTGGCCTCCACCAGCTCAGAGACATCTCAAGCCACATTCAAACCATTCAAGAGAGACCTTCCAATGAAGCAAATAATACCTAGTAGCCTCCCCTGGGTTTTTTGGCTTTTTGCTTGTCAGAGCAACCCACTTCCCCAGGAGGTGGTGAGACACACCAGAGGGACAGGGTTCCCTGCACCCATGCAAGAGTCCTACCTGAGCAGATGAGTCCTGGATCTCATTGGTTTCTTTTAGCACCTAGACAGTTGGGAAGAGAAAGAGGAGAAGCATCACTGCCCAGGGACCTGCACTGACTGAAGTGTGTGCTCTAGGTTGGCTCCAGGGATGGAGAGCACATTGGAAGCAACCAGGGAATGAAGCCTGGGAACCAGGAATTCATAGTGACAAAAGGAAATAGCTCTTTATTAAACCTCTCAAGACTTGGGCTGGTTTTTGCAGTTCCTTTTGGCTTTGTAGCTAGTCAGTCCTGAGGGGGCCAGCAAGGGATGGGGACTGGGGTGAATTATTCCATGGGTTCCCAGCTGCAGGCAATTTACTGATCCTTAAAATAAAACCTCCTCCCTGCTGGACAAGCTCCTGGGGCTATTCAGGTGAGTGCTCCAGGCCTAGAGAGCACTGGATATTACAGATATGAAGAGCAGGTGAAGAGGAGCCCATCACCTTGCAGACTCAGAGGACACATCTTGGAGCTTTTGAATCTGAGATTTGTCCTTCTTGGCTGTAGGGAGTGAGTCCAACTGACCTCAGAGCTACAGCCTGAGAAATGCCAGGTGTCATTTTGGGGATGACCATGGGGTTACCCTTCCTTTGAGCAGGCAGCCAGGGTGACCTCCTCTGCATCACATCCCTGGCCTCCTCTGCATCTCCTCCCTGGCAAAGCCAGCACCCAGTGAATCCCTTTCTGATCAGGGCTTTCCCTAAGGTCCTCCTCTTAAAAATAAGAACTACAGCAATTGATGCAGCCCATCCTGGGCAGTGGAGCAGAAGCTGTAGGGCTGCTCCACTAGTGTCACCTCCACCCCTCTTTGCTGTCTGGGAATTGCTGGCACCAGGATCCTGGAGGGAAGAAACTCTGAGCAGGACCCAGACAGGGCAGATACCCATCCCACACCCAGTTCCTGCCCCTGGCACAGCTCCTCACTACAACACCAGGAAGGTTCATGCCAAACACTGATGTAAGGCACTTGTCCCTTTTCCAGGCAGCTACGAAACCCTTTGAGATACCATAGACTTGTTTGGCTTGGAAGGGACCTTGTAGATCATCTAGATTCAACCCCCTTCATGGGCAGGGACACCTCCCACCTGGCCTGGAGGGATGAGGTGTCTCCCTGGGCCAGCTCCTGAGGAAAGCCCTGGGGGCTTCATGTCTTTACTGTGTCATCTGAGCTATTTCTTGAAAAACTGCTGAACACTGTAATCAAAGTCAAATCCCCCAAACACCCCATTTTCCAGCCCTGCTGACAAAACAGAGGAGCCAGCCTTGGACAGGAGGGATGCACCAAAGGGGGTAATTCAGCAAGGATTTCAGTGGGATGTACAATTCCTGAATTTCACCCCCTCCCAGCAGCAAAGGTCCAGCTGCAATATTACTCAACTTCTACTCCAAACTTTCCTGTGTTAAACACATGAGCACACACAGTCACACCCCCCCAGGCTTTGGCTCAGAAACTTTCCCTTTAACTCATTCTCCCTTTGCACCAAACCCATCTATGACTTGAAGGGAGGGTTTGGGTGAAAAAAGAAACACCACCCCACGTGCTGGATGCCATCACTTCCTTGCATCTCAGCTCAGACACAAGGGATTCCAGGCTGCATGAATTCCCTGAGTTGGTCCTCGTGTTTGAATAATCAAATGGTTTTGTTTGGAAAAGACCTTGAACATCACCCAGTCCAACCATTCACCCAGCACTGCCAAGGTCACTACTAACTGTGTCCCTCAGCATCATCTACAGAGCTTTGAAATCCCTCCAGGGATGGAGACTCCCCCCCTGCCCTGGGCAGCCTGGGCAGGGTCTGACAACCCTTTCCAGGAAGAAATTGTGCCCAAGATCCAACCTAAACTTCCCATGGCACAACTTGAGGCCATTTCCTCTTGTTCTATCCCTTGTTCCTTGGGAGAAGAGACAGATTCCCTCTTCTCCAACCTCCCCTCAGGCAGTTGCAGAGCCAGAAAGTCTCCCCTCACCTCCTGGACACCCCCAGCTCCCTCAGCTGCTCCTGCTCAGCCTTGAGCTCCAGCCCCTTCCCCAGCTCCCTTCTGCAACACGCTCCAGCCCCATAAAAGCCTCACAACAAATCATGTGACACCAAAGAGGAACATGTGCCAGGAGCCCCAGCTGTGCCAGGCAGCCCCAGATGTGCCAGCTGCCCTCAGCCACACCTCTGCCCAGGCTGATGGGAGCTCTTCCAAGGGTCTGAGGTGGTGGAGGCTGAAGGAGGGTCCGCAGGCTGAGCCGTGGCCATGGCACTGCTCCCCGGCTGCTGCTGCATCTCCCATCACAAAGGTCAGTTGCTGCAGGGCACCCTGGGGAGGGAGAGACACAGAAACCATGGTTTACCCACCTGCTCCCTCCAGAGGGGAGAGAAATGCCTGGGGTGGGTGTCTCCAGCCTCTCATAGCCAGGGATTGCTTTACAGGTGGGTTGGGGTCATCAAACTTCACCCCCACCTTCAAGAGCTGGAGCTGCAACCTCACTGCAGAGCAGACCATGTCCCCACACCCAGCTCTGCCCTCTCACCTTAAAGGGGATCTCGAAGGACTCGATCAGGCCTCCAATGATGACGAGCCCCTCAGTGGTCACTCCCATCCCAAAATAGTTGGACCAGCTCACTCTGTCCACCAGCCGACAGTCCACGTGCAGCTCCAGCCTCTCCAAGGAGATGCTGAGGGCAACTCTGTGCCAGTGCCCATCACCGAGGAAGGAAACTGGGAACCTACACGTGCCAGAAGAGAAGAGGCACAACATGAGACTTTGGCCTCGCACTTTATGCAAGACTTGGCTTCACCTTTACCTGCTCCTGTGGTCCATGGATCCACCCTTAGTCCAGATGCAAAGGACACCAGGAGAGAAATGAGGTCTACCTGACTGTCACAGGAAGCACCATCACTCTCTTCCAGCAAGGGAGTGATAGTTCTAGCTGGTGGATGGGGGCAAATCTAAAACCAGTGGAGGTGTCTGGGGTTACTGGCACTTGTTTCTCCCCCCGCTCAATTTATCCTCAGGTTTTGGAGCCTTTTTGCTCATGGCTTTGCTTTTCAGACCTGCATCATTTTGATAGAGTGGGATTAGGCAGCACCCACCTGGGCAGTGACACCTGGGCAGTGACACCTGGGCAGTGACACCACCAGCTCCACCGTACAGATGGGGTGACACGACCTTGATGCAGGTGAGGTGGGGTCAGAGCAGCATTGCTCAAAGCCCATAGTGGGGAAACTTCCACCTCTGGACTTGGGAGTAGAAAAGGAAGCACAAAAAGGCAGAAATAAAAGCACCTGAGCTTGAACTTACTCATAGTGTCTCCTCCTCGTGGTGACAAAGACCAAGGCATAGGGGTTAATCCTGATCTGGAAGAGCACGTGGCTGCGGTGGCTAAGGATGGTCACCAGGCTGGTGTCCTCCTTCAGTGAGTACCTGAGCTTCATCAGCACACTCAGCTCATCTGCAAACCTGGCAGAAAGAGCAGATGGCACCTGCAGCAGCTGCTGTGGCACCATCCCCTGCCCTTCTCAGGCAAAGCTCACAAGTCACAGCATGAAGGACCTCGGTGAGAACAAAAAAAAATAACACAAAAATCAAGAGCAAACAATTATCCAGTTGTAAGATCAGGTTCTCAGGAAGAGTTTTGCCCATATAACCAAAGAGCATCCATCCCCCTTGGGTGCCATCCCAGAACATGCCTATGGGGCTGAGGGAGTTGGGGTGTTCAGCCTGAAGAAGAGGAGGCTCCAGGGGGACCTTCTAGAGACCTTCCAGTGCCTGAAGGGGCCTATAAGGAGGCTGGGAAAGACCTGTTCACAAGATCATGTAACAACAGGACAAGGGTTTTAAGCTAGAAAGGGTAGATTTAGGTTGGACATTAGGAAAAAGTTCTTTAATAAGAGGCTGGTGGGGTCACTGGACCAGGTTGCTCAGAGATGGTGGAGGCCCCATCCCTGGAGAGATTCAAGGTCAGGCTTGATGGGGCTCTGAGCAACCTGTTTTAGTCTGAGATGTCCCTGCTTATTCTAGGGCTGCCACCACCTCAACCCCATCCCCCTGAAGGCATCCTACCTGTCCCCAAAGGCCTCCCTGGTTGGGATGGTGAGGGTGGCATATTGCCCAACCTCTAGGGTGTTGCAGTTGGTGTTGTCATGGCCAAAGGAAACGTTGCTGAGGTCCCGTGCCTGGGAGGTAATTCTGTCCAGTAAGTTGACTTCATCTGCATTGGGGGAGAAGAAATAGGTGCTCAGAAGCTGAGATGGCTTCTCTACAGGGCTCTGCTCTCATTGTTCTTCCTTGTAGACAACAGACAAAACCCACAGGAAGAAGAGAAGGCCATTGGGGGAAATAAAAACAACTCATCATGTCAGTAACTTGGACCAAAACATTCAGGTAACCTCAGAAGCAACCAGGTGACATTTCTGAAGCAGAACACATGCTTTGAGGCCAGTGTCCCAAACACATGGAGGGCCAGTTCTGCCTTAGCAGTGCTCATCTATTTATGACCATATAGTGGGGATGCTCAAGACTGCAAAGCAGAACCTGGGACACAAATGTCCTAAAAAACAAGTCCTGGATCAGCTGGATACAGAAAATGCTCCTCAGCTCTTTCCTTCTCTTCCTTGTTGAAGTTTGCCCAATTTCAATAAAGAATCAAAGGAGCATGATGAAGTGACTGTGTCCCTCACCAAGGCAGGTGCCCTGACCTCCCCTCTGCCCAAAACAGAGCAGCCCCACACAACCCCCCTTTCTCAGAGGGGGAAGGTCCCACTTCCATAACTGTGCTGTCAACACCAAGATGGTTTGGACTGGGTGAGAATCCCTGGTCTGGGCTACTTGGCAGCAGCATCAATTCAGTCTCATGAGGAGCTTTTAACTCTCCTGAAGAACAGAGAGATTCCCTTTCCCAGCTCAGCCTTTGACCAAAGACTCCTCCAACTACAGAAACACCTCAACAAAGACATGGGTTCAAACCCAGGAGGTTTCTTGTTCCTCTCCACTGCAGACACCTGGCTCTACCCAACTGAGACACCTACAAGCAGGTCCCTCCTTTCTTGTCATCCCCAGATGCTGCAGGTGACAGGGTTATTGCCACACTGCCCAGCAAGGGTTGGGGATGGGGGATAGACCCAGGACAGCCCTCCATGAGCCCAGCCTTGCAGGAGGGGTCTGGATCACTCTGGGCACACAGCCCCTTTGTTGGGAGGGTCTGGAAAATCCCACTTGATGATTTGTCAGTGGGAATTCTGCCAGCACTGGCTGCACTAGCATCTGCTGTCACCTGGGAGGGATCCAGCCTCTGCCCTCCCTCCAATTGCCACTGTTGATGAAGTGGGAGGTTTATTGGAGGGCAGATGAACAGCCTGGGTCCTGCTGCAGCCTGACAGGAGATGGACACACCATCAAGCTCTGCTGCTCTGGAAAATAACAAGTGAATTGAGCAGAAGGCTTCTTTGATCCAGTGCAGACACCAAGGCCTTGCCACAACCTCCTCAGAAGTCTCTGCAAGGGAAGAGCCCTGTGCTGAGATGGAGAGGAGGGAACAGGGTCCTGCAGGAGATGTGGCCATTTGTGGGGACTTTGGGCTTCACCAGGTTCTTCCCCAGATCCCCACGTGGTCACAGCACGAGCACATTCCCAGGCACCATGAATGTGCAAAAAGCCTTTGGCACCAGGAACGTGGCTAAAAGAGGCACCAAGGCAGAGAGGGTGCAGGGCTGAGCAACCTTCACCCCCACTATGGTCCTGCCTTCCCCCCTGGAAACAGTGCTGCCCAGGACCTCAGAAGCAGGGGTCCCAGCCCAGCTGTGTTTGCTTTGGACTCCAGACTTGGGTCCTTCTCTGCCCACCTACAGAAATCCAGCCCAGCCTGCCCCTGGGGCACAGCCAACCTGCCAGACCAACATCTTCCCTGTTCAACCTCAAGCCAAAAGCCTGCAGAATGGCTGTTTCTCTGCTGGAAAGGAGATCCCTGGAGTTCAAAAGCTGCTGCCAAACCCAGCTTGCCTCCAGGCTCCTGAAGTGGCACAGGAATCTTCTCAAAGCAGTCCTGTTCCAGGAGGCTTGTGCACGGGCCAACCTCAACAAGGACAAGAACCAGCCAAGCAGAGCCAGAGCCAAGGACCTGGCAGCCCCAGCTGAAGTCAAACCCTGCCCAGCTGAAGTTAAACTCCCCCCCCAGCTGTCATCAGGGTGCCAAGCATGTCTGAGAAGAAATGCTCCTTCCCAGGGTGGGGAGCACACCCAGTGCAATGGGGAACAGCCAGAAAAAGCTGCTGGAGAGGTTGAATCCCACCCCATGAACCCACTGCAGTGCATGGTGTCATGTCAGAAGGTTTCTGCTTTGAAGGTCTCCTAGACCATAGCAAGAGAAACAGCCTGGCTGTGTTTTGGTGCAGATGTCCCAGCAATCCTAAGCTCAGGCTGGAGGAGAAAACCAGCAGAGCCTTGCAAAGCCCAGCAAGAGAAGAGGCATTTTTTGCTTATCATTGGTGTACCCTGGGCCATCATGACCTCCTCTGCCTTCAGCTGTGCACAGGAGTGCACCTTAAGGGATGGTCAGTTAAAAAAATAGGACTACTTGTTTATTCCATTTGTAAACAAAATTGAACAGTAAATAAATCCCTCATCCCTTTTTCAGGATGAAGTCGTTACAAAAACACATGGAAAGAGGGATGAAAGACTTTGCCTTGTGGCTCTGAGATGTTATAAACAAACTCCAGCTCAAATATTAGGCACAAAAAAAGCACCAGCATCCTGAGGATGAAGGAGAAATGGGGGCAGAGGGGTCTGCACGTGCCCCCATCCTCTTTGGTGTTGGGGACCTTGACAAGGTACCCACATTAGACCATAAGCTCCATCATTTCCATACAGGGTTTTCCCACCCTCATGGGTCTTTTGACCCCACACGGAGTTAAAATTCCCAAGGAACAAGAGAAGAAACAAGAAACATGGACAACATGGACAATGTCAGGACTCAGAGGAGCACCCCAAAGGTAAATCCACCCTTTGAGGAGGAGGTGAGGCTGACAGGGAACCTTGCAGAGAGGGGTTGTGGTTGCAATTCAAGGCCTCTTGCATGAGCCAGTGCTGGGGAAAGGGAAGGGGACATGGAGCACCAAGGGCCAGCTGCTCCCAAGGATTGGCAAGCTGAGGGAGCAAAGAGAGGGCAGTTCCTTGCTAACAGGCACAGTTCTGAGGGTGGGGAACACCCCAGGGGTCCCACCAGGAGCCAAGCTACATCCAGCACAGGTCCACAGTCCATCCAGGAGCCAAAGGCAGAAGCAGGGCTGGAGACAAGCACCCTACATCATGGCTCTGGGAAGGCTGAGGGCACCAGGCTGAGCTTAAATGGGCCTCCTGGGACCAGGGTGTGGGTGGAGGCTCCAGGTGGGGCTCATCAGGACCATTAAAGCCCATTAGTGCTCTCAGGGACCAGCTGGGGTTCAGTAGTGGTCCTCAGCCACCCCACCCCTGGGGCTGCATCCCAGAGGAATGTCTTCCCTGGGGAAGCACCCCAAGTTGCAGACATAAAGAAGTGACCATCTGTGCTTTCCTCTGGCTCATGGGCACATCCTCAGCTTTATGTTCTCCCCAGAGGAGGGAAAGGAGAGGGAGCTGAATTCTACCAAACAACAGAAAACCTAATTGGAGAGCTCCTAACAGGGTCTGTCAGGCTGAGTCACCTTCCCTGGACATGGCACCACTGGTTGGGACCTGAAATAACTGGGCTGGACAAGCCCTGGGGACAAACCCAGAGGACTAACCTGGTACTTCCTGCCAGAGTCTGCTCATGACCACAGGCCATGCACTTGGAGCTCTGCATTAGAGACCCTTGCACATCACAGCTGGAGTTTAATGCTCCCTGCATTCAGTGATGGAAAAAGGGGACTTTACAGTGGGACAAGGGTTTCCTGGCACCTCACATCACTGACACCACCACGTTAGCATGGCCAGGAGTCAGAGCCAAGCATTCCAGACAAGACAGCCCTCCCAGAACACTGATGCTTCTCCACTCCCCTGCTGCCATCTCACAGCTCTTCCACCCTTTGCCTCTTGGGAGACATTCTTGGGCTGGAAGGTTGACCCTGACCTTTTCTGGAGCAAGGGGCTGCAAGATAACAGCTTCATAGTTGGACTGGTCTGATGACTCTTCACGTTGGGTGAACAAGGTGAAGGACACCTCGTTAGAGTTGTGTTTGCAGGACATCAACCCTCCCTCAGCTCTTCCTGCTTCTTTCTATCTTGGAATTGCTTGTACTGTAAATAATATCCACAGCAGCCATCCATGTCACCTCCTGTACCACCACCATCTCCCACTGTCCCCATTTCCCTTGCCACCCAATCATTTCCTTGGAAGGGCAACACCACCAACCACACGAGATGAGGTTTAAACTCACAGGGACAGACCCACAATCAGGTGGTTATGCAAGAGGATTTCCACCCCAGCCTCCCTGCTCTGGAGAGCAGAGATAATTTGGTTTTGACCCCGTGGCTACAAGCTGAAGAGGACAAAGCCAAAGCAGGAAGAAAAAAGCAAAAGCCCATTAGTGGAGGAGTGAATGGAACCACCACCCACCCACAGAGAGGACAGAGAATCTCAGGGAAGCAAAACCTTTTCAGAAGAAAAGAGCTAGAAGGACACATTGTTTAGCCAGGAAAAGTCAGAGCCCAGGTTTCTTTTCAAGCTCATCCTGCAGATCTGCAGGCTCCTTTGTGTGGGCCCAGCACGGGGGCTCTGCCAGGACAGGGCTTCTGGGGACAAAGCCTGGGGAGGAGAAAGGGCTGCTGGAAGCTGAGGATGACCCCGAGTAAGGATACACTGGCTCCAAGATAAAGTAGGGCAAGGGACAGGAAAAGAGGCTGCAAAAGAGCTTCTGGGAGCAAAGGGAGCAGGAAAGCAAAGAGTCCAAATCAGCTAAACAGGGATGATGAAACCAGAGTGGCTGCAGGAGCAGGGAAGTGGCCTTGGTGGGCATTTCATCCTCACTGGTCTTTCTGCAGATCCCAACTGCCCAAGCCATGAGGCAGCCTGAGAATGGGCAGGGAAAGGCTTTGAAAACAGGGAGCAAATCAGTATCCTGAAGGTTGAGGAACCAGAGCCTGCAGACCATTGTGAAGGAGAAGCTGGGAAGGCCTGGGAAGAAAGTTCCCAACAGCCAACTGGTCTGCAGGACTTGGTGGCCTCACTTGGGTTTGTTTGGTTTGACTTCTTTTAAT